CCGGCGCCCCCCGCTCCGCGCGCGGATCCCTCCGGGGAGGGTGGTGCCGCCTCAGCACCCCCCAGCCCCACGCAGACGCCGGGAGCCCCGCGCCGCGGCCCAGCCGGTACAAACACGCTTTTTGCGGAGTGACCGGCTGCCGCGAGGCACAAAGCCGGGATTCGCAGCGCCCGCTGATTATTCCTGCACCCCCATCATTAAAAAAAAGAGAGAAAAGATGAAAAGGCCCCTCGGTAAACCCGGGGAGCCGTGAAACGGTACCGAAAGCAGCCTCTCCCCTGTTCCTTGTGGGGTTTTTTTGTAAAGCGGGGAGACGCGAATCCCGGGGGACAAAAGTAACTGCTAAGGTAAGTTAAACCTTGTCGAGATGAACTTTCCTGCTACTTTTAATTAAAAGTTCTTTGGAATTAAAAAGGACACTATTCAGGAAAGGCTGAAAAAAAAAATTCATTGACACCAGCCCGCCCCCCTCCCCTTTTCCCAAGGAAAAGAAAAAGCTGTTTTTGTGTGTCTGCTCACCCAGCCCGCACTGTACAAAAGGAAGCGGATTTGCAGCAAGACACATGAGATGACCCCCTGACCCTGAGCCGCTGAAAAGTCCTCAATGGCATAAATACCAGATAATCAATCACATACCAGGAGGGCCGGTCCCCCTGCCCTCGCCCCCGCCGCCGGGTTTATGAGAGATGCACTGTAAACGGACACCGGCTCCTGACGGGAGGCCCCTCTCGGCATTCCTCCGCCGGACCAGGAGACCCCGGCCGCCTCCTCGCCCGCGTTTCATCCCTATTTTATAAAGCCCCGGCGTGGCAGCGCCGAGCATCCTCCAGCTCGCCGGAGCGCCGGCAGCGCCTCACCTTCCCCACTCTGGAGCCAAACGTGGAGCCGAGGGGGACGAGAGGCGTCTCTTTGTGCTCTGGAGCGGTGGCCAAGCGCCCTCCAAGCCATCGCAGGCTACTGCGGGGCCGGCGCCAAGGCTGGTGTGCCCAACCCAGGCAGAAAACAGCCCCATCTACTGAAAACTCGGCTTTTTTGGGGGGTTCACTTGCATTTTGAAGCCTTCACAGGTTCTAGCCGCAATTGTACCACGCTGGTTTCCACTACAGGGGCTCTGACAAGCATCTCGAATGTGAGCGGAGGAGGGCTGCCCCGTCCCCCCATGCTCCCGGGGGCAACAATGGATGTTAAAGCTTTCAAGGGAGGAAAGGGAAAAAAAATGCTGAGATACTGCACCAGTTTGGTTAAATGGGGAGCCGCTCGGCAACTAAATTTGATAATGCTTTTGTCCGTGGGTCAGAGGTTAAATATGTTCACACTAATCCCCTTCATCTAGAATTAAAGGACAAGAAAGATTTCTCTGTAGCTTAGCGAGAGGGCTTTTCTCATCGCGCTTTAAATAGTATTTGCACAGGAAAATTAAAGGCCGACTATTGGCTGCTGGGTGCGGACGCGCAGGTCTGCCACGTTTCCATCTCCTGGCTTGTTTCTGGCAAATCCGCCCGCTCGCGCGAAGCCCGACCTCGTCGCGCGTCCCGGCCGAGCCCACCTCGAAGCGTGGGGAGGTTTTGCCGCCGTTTGCAGCAGAGGTGGAAAGAGCAGCCGTGGCCGGGCAGGCAGGAGATTCCCGGATTCAGGAATGCGCGCCGGGACTCGGATTTCAAGCGCTGTCACAGGACATTACTGTCAGACAAAGGGGCTCTGTGCTGCGCCCCCCCGGACCCGCCGCCCCGAGACCCCGCAGAACCCGGGGCTGGGGCTAACGCCGCGCGCACAGCCCGGCCCAGCTGCTTGCGCCGGGAATCACGCTCCCGAACGACGGAGGCGTCCGATGGGAAGCGTAACCGTCCGGACCTGTGTTTTTATAGAAATAAACGTTTGCAAAAAAGCACTTTCCTTTGAAGACGCCGGCTCACATGGGAAGAGCGCTCAGGCCACGAGCAGGGAAGCACAGGAGAGGCGGCGGGCTCTAGCTGAAGGCGCGTGCTCGCCCTTCCCTCCACTTGTACCGTTTTCAGCCCTTTTGGCAAATAAACTTGGCCACAAGAGTATTAAAAAAACCTCAGGGCTTTGTGTCTTGGATGCATTTGGATGGCTCCGTTTCACCCTTCCTCAGCTCAACGGTTTTGTTTCATTCTGCCACAGCCAAAGGTTGGAGCGAGCGAGTCCCGCTCCCTGTCGAGCAGCCAACATTAAGCACGGAGTATTTTTTCCAAGGTTCTTATGAATACATTCACAGGCGATGCTGCACAAAGGATGCCGCGCCTGCGCATGGCACGCTTGGCTCCAGTCGGATGCCTGTACCCAAAAATGTCACAGCAGCCACGAAAGCATCTTCACCATCAGCACTTTGCATTTTCTGTCGCTACTGAAGCCACAAACCCCCGAGGTGCCCTGGCAGCAGCTCCCCCGGCCCCAAATCCAATTTTCCCACCTTGGTCAAGGATTCCCGCCGGGTGCTGCCGGCGTTTGAAGGCTCCAGGAACGGCCAGATCTGTTCCCCAAGCTCAGGAGTCTCGGTTTGAGCCCAGCACCAATTCTCTCCATTCCAGTTCATTGCGGGGCACTCCGGCCTCCTCTGTCAGAACCGAGATCCTCGCACCTGAACCGAAGGCGGCTGCAGCCCCGCGTCCACCGCTCACAGCCTCCGACAGCAGCATCAGGGGCTGGTGGCAGGCGGGAGGAGCGCGCAGGGGCTTTCGCAGCACTTCCATAGCTCCACATCCAAAACCCACCTCTCATCCAACAGCAAATCTGCACAGCGCCGCCCGGGCATCGCCACACAGCATCGCCTGCGCTCCCTCCCCCAGCCGGGACCGTGGAACCGAGGCGAGTGCAGGAGGGATAATTACCTCTAAGCGTACTTAATACTACAGTGCATTATCTCTAGCTATGGAGAAAAATGCTATCCGGCGGTATTTCCCCCAGAAGCCTCATCGAGCTGCTCGCTGAAAACTCTCAGGAGCCCCGTGAAACAGTAATGGAAAGTCACAGGCAGCCCAGGAGGAGTCGGCTTGGATTCGGCGAGGAAGTGTGCGGGCTGCTGGCGGCGGGCTCGGCTCCCGCCCAGCCGTGGGAGTGGATGCAGCGAGACGGGTCCAGCGTTGCACCTCCCGCGCCCCAGCTGGGCGCTGCCGGGACGCTGCGGGTGGCTGCTGGTGGCAAGTGCCACCGCCGAGACGAGGCCAGCCCCGGGCACAGTCCAGGGAGCATCCCGGTGGAGAGCCGGCTCGGGCCCAGTGCGCGGCGCCGCGCTGAGCTTAAGGCAAAACAAACTGATGTCTCAAAGTAATTTATGGCTCGTGTCACCCAGCTTGCACGTTATGATCCACTTGCTCAAAATCCCTAATTTCCAACACCAAAAAAGATGGTGTGGTGCTCTTCTATAGCACCACTAGTATATTTTAGGCGGGTACCACTGTGAGGCAGAGAAAAGGAAGCAGGGGAAAGGAGATAAGACAAATAGATAACTGGACTAAGCGTAAATTTGCCAAGAACAGAGACGGCGTGTGCCCGAGTGACAGCGCAGCCCCGGCACGGGTTCCCCTCCACCCCCGCCAGGCTCCCACGCATCCCCCTCGCAAACCCAAGCCAGCAATAGCGTTGCTGGGATGCTCCTTCCACAGAGAAATGCCACCTGCTCCGGCTTTTGAAAAAAAGTAATTTAACACCCACCCCCCCCAAATCACTGTGTACCTCAGTGTGCATTTCGAACAGGCACAGAAAATTTCTGGGGGGAGAAAGCGGTTAAAGCCCTGCCAGGAGAGAGAGGGAGGCCGAGCTTCCCGAGCGACACGTTCCGCGGGACCCAGGGCAGGGGCGTCCCGCTCTGCCAGCACCTCCTCTCCCAGGCGCACACTCTCGTGCGCTGGATTTTTCTCCCTTTGTACCTCCACTTATACCGCACGACTGTTTTGAATCTCTAAAATAATGTGACAAGTTAATGATGGCACAATTATCTAAATGTTTAACAGACATGTTATCTAAGTGAATCGG